TTTCTCCTTTCAAATTAATGAACCACTGTTTAGGGAAACAATTGATCACATTTTGGGCTTTTTTGATGCTGTCATCTCCATATTCTGAATTCTGAAAAGCCATCAGAATGTATCTATTTAGTAAACCATCTATAGATAACTCTTGTAGAGTTTTATTTGAGAAAATACCATACCATTGAAGAAAATTCCCTAGAAGCTAGAAAAAGAAAAATAGAAAACAATTATTCAGGCACTATATGTAAGCAATTAGCGTAGGTACAAAGTAAACAGCTAGACAGTAAAACACAACTTAGCAGAATGGACACTGTGTTCCAAAAAGAATGAATACCTTTAAAGGGTCTAAATATTTCCAAGTATGACTGAGGACCTGAATTTTCAATTTTGATAAATGTAAATAATAATATGAAGTTAGTACTACCATTCTGAATAACACAGTCAAAGAACACTGAAGAAAGTACTATTGGATAGTGTTACTTTTCAGGTAAATTTTCTCCATTTCACTATATACTCAAGCTAACTCTTAATTCTAAAAAAGGGTGGACATTCTGGTTTTTTTCTACAATACTTCACAGGTACCTGATCAAAAACTTACACTGAGCCCTTTATATCAGATTGATAAAAATTGTTATGTGCCGTCGAGTCACTTGCAACTCATAACTTTTCTTATTAATTTATATATTCCCATACTTTAGAAAAGTACTTGCACTCTGTGAAGAATACATTAAGTGGTGGTTCACCTAGACACGACACTGACACACTCGGACCCTACTTTTGAACATGGAACTCATTTTCTCCTTTGGAAATATCAAATTGGATTTGAAATGAACTTGAAATAATGCTAGTTAGTAAAATGGAGACTTTATTTAGATGAACAATATATGAAGTTTTCTAGATAAATGTTACACATACCTTAACTGAAGACCAAAATTGTCGTTGAAAAAACAAATAAGGACCACAATTTTTATTCTCTAGAACACTATAAGGGGGGAAAAAATTATAATCAGATATTTATATGTTTCATGTGATTCCTGTAAGAAAAGATTCCTATAAGTAAACGAGGTTAACAAAAGAATCAAGTGGTTTTTTTGTTTTTAAAGTTTTAAGCAATTATATTCTGAACGTTAGTAATACCAGTATTAGGGAAGTTAGCATTAAGCCTAATATTCTTAGGAACTACTTACTTTTTAGGATACAAAGGCATAAATACATCATCATCTAAAGTTCTTCTCATTCTCAACAAAAGTGCCTTTAGGTATACCTAAATAAAAGAGTTAAAAGTAAACCATGAATTTCTCTAAGACTATGAAAACATGAGCTCATAATAAAATCCAAAAATAACCATATTTCAAATCATAGAATCCACTAAGTATTTAACTTTTAATAAACTATCCTCAATTTTCGTTTTTAATTTTCCTCACTGAAGGCTACAAAGACATTAGCACTATACCATTAATTCACAAGAACCAAGCAAAAAGGCCATTTCAACACTTTCAAATCTTTGAACCCTTTAGTCTACTATAGAAGGACTTAAAATAATCTACATAATCTAGCCCTTCTGAAAACAAAACTCAAACTCACTGCCAATGAGTCAGAACTGACTTACAGATGACCCTCCAGTGGTTTTCAGAAGCTGTAAATCACATGAAAGGAGACTGCCTATCTTTCTCCCTCAGACACACTGGTGTAGACATAAACCACCAGAGAGAGGCCTATGGGCTCACAGTTCAACTCACTCCACACTATACCACCAAAGCAAGTTTAAATATAACAATAACTACAGTAGTCCACATTTCAATATGGTACTGAATGGCCACTGGGGAAGACAGCTGGGAAACAGGTTATGAAATAGTAACTGTTTTATAAACTTATTAACTGTTACAGCATTTAAGTAAATTGTTATCCATTTTAGCTGCAACTTTGCTCTCAAAATATAGCTACAATAATTAGCCAGATTTGGAGTGAGGTTAAGAGGATGAGAAGAAAAGTAAGAGAGATGCTTATTAGATTATTAGTATGTTCTTTCCATATTAGATTTTTAAGTATGGGGGGGAATCTTAAATTTTGATTTCTAGTTTTCATGAACTTAACGACTCAATATTTCTACTCATTTTCAGGTGGGGATCTTAGTAAAAAAAAATTAAGTTACCTGTGTATTTTTATTTGCTGCATTCACTACTGAAGAGTAGCCATTTATTAATTTTAGTGTAATTCCAACCATTCTTGAAGTTTGTGTTGTAGAAAAAGGGTCCCACATATTTTCAGCTATTACTATTAAGAGGGGGAAAAAGTAGACATAACAGCAGTTAAATGTGATGTCAAGTAGTTCTCTAATTATAAATACCAATCTTCTCGAATTATAAATGTCAATCCTGATTTATTTTTCATCTCTACATAACAGAAACTTTTGAATCATTGTTGTGGAAATTGTGAATAGGAATGGGAAAAAGGTATAAATTTCTCACTTCTACGACTCACTGAAGATAAAGGCAAGAGGGGGGAAGAGGATTTTTATAACAAAGATGCTATCCTGGTATCGAAATTTTCTAATTAAACTTGATATTTATTTTTATTATTTTAAATAGGTTCAGATGTCAACATTTCTAATCTTTTCTCTAATAAATTAAAGAAAGCATTGATTACAACATCTCACAGTTGAGAAAAACATTTTGATGGCCCTTAACAAAGAAGGCACTACTGAAACTACATACCAAAAGAAAAGTGTCATTCATCCCACCCCACCCCAAAAATACGCATTTTGTTCTGCTTTAGGCTCTAAGACTTTCTAAAATTCACCTATGGACCACTACTACCACAAACCCCAAGCCCACTTTCAGGGAGTACAAAAGTCCCAGGATAAAAACGTTTACTCTTCAACTATCCTCTGGGATAGATAATAAATTGATCATTTATAATGGATATGAGGAAACATATCCTATGTTAAAATCTCTCTTAAACACAGAACTGAAAAAACAAAATGCTTCTTATGTTCAATTCAGAAAATAAGAGATTTACCTGTTAATTTAGGAAGAATCACCTTTTCCACAATGGTAGGAAGCAGGGCAACATCTACATCATCTTTTTCTTGTTCCCATTCTTCACAACCATAAAACAACAAAGATTCAAACCACAGCATGCTCTCAAAGTCACGACATTTTGCCTATAAAATAACATTCAAACATTTAAAATAGTGTATATTTCTACTTGTATGCACAAGTAGATTTACTCTTAAATCATAAACTACCAAAAACTGGACAAAATATATAAAGCATGTTTTCAATTAATGGCCCACAGATAGTATGGTACTCTCAAACCCCATCCACCCAACCCCCCAAAATATCAAACAACTCACTGCCCTTAAGTCAGAAGTAACTCACAGAAGACCCTCCAGCAAGTTTTCCAGGGCTGTGAACTGCACAGGATTCAAACCAGAGAGGGGCTTCCTCTGTGTGAGCTGGGCCACTCTCCATAAGCTATGCTACCAGTGTTCCCAAAAACAATAATAATTGATAGTCTTTCTAAAATTGGTTTACAATTGAAAACTACATGAATTAAATGATCTACTATTCTTTTCAATTCGAATCCAAAGGTACTGTCTATGGGGTAGCAATGCAACCACAAGAGCTCCCGGTACAGGAGGGAAGGGGAGGGGAAGGGAGCGAAGGAGAGGGAAGGGGAGGGCAGGGCAGAGCAGGGCAGGGCAGGGCAGAGCAGAGCAGAGCAGAGCAGTCAATCTAAACAGAGAAGAGCTTGCTGAGAAAAGGTAGCTGAAAGCTGTCGGGCAGTTTTGCAGGTAAGGCAGCATCACAGAAAAAGCACTTCAGAAATACACCCAGGGGGTGCTCTTGAACTTTGTTGTAATCTAAGACACATACACACATGCAACATGATGCCAGAAAGTCAGGTGCTCGTGAGGAACTTCATGGTGAATAACTCCTAGAGCTTATTCTACCACCACCAATTTCCACCCCCACGTTGTGTCTCACAGTTTAAACTTCAGTCTTCTTAGGCTTATACATGCAACCTAGCCAGTCTCACTCATGCCCGTGGAGCCACCATATGCTGGTAACTTCCAAATACTGTATCTTAAACACAACTACTGGATCTAAATCATCAATTCCAGTCTTCTCTGTTACATACGAAAGCAAAGCAGCCTACTAATTCTATTGTGAAATCCTTCCCATTTCCATTACTACTGACTGGCCTACTGTATCTTCCACAAATAGTATACCAATATAAATAACGCACACACAGATATGACGGCCACAATTATTACGTTACCTAAAACAACCTGTTCACATCTCGTATTTCCAGAAGTGAATTTCAACCTCACTCAATAGTTTAGAGACAGTATTTCTTAATATATTTATGTAATAATGGTATAAATCATGGTCAAAGAATCATGGACTGAGTTTGGCTGAATGAGAACCGACTCAGTGCTGATCCTCCAGCAGGTTTTCAGAGGAAGTAAACTGCACGGGAGATTGCCCATCCTTTTCTTCTGGAGCACTGGTGAATGAGAACCATGTGCTCTTCGGATTGCAATGCAACTTCTTTCCAGTAGGCCTTCAGAGATCCAGAGTGATCAGAAAAGAAACAAATGAAACTATACTTCCTCTTCCTGGATGATACCCTTGATATCCTTCCACAACTCATCTGGTCTTCGCTCATTAGTGTTCAAGGCCTCAAACCTGTTCCTGCGATGGTTCTGAAATTCAGGTGGGATAGACTCAAAG